CAACAATAGCTGCGGCCAGTCCACTTTTTTATGAGTGTCCATGTTTTGGTACAAGTTAAGAAAAACTAACCAGAGAAGTTGACCAGCCAACTAATCAAATTTTAGTGTATTGTGTGTACTGCAACTGCTATGTGTGTGTACTTTTATACGTGGTAGAGCCATTTTACAGTCGTTAATAGTGTAGCTGTAGCACAAATGGGTCGGCTCGACCGGGGAAGGGCCACGCTCTCACAGAATACCAGCGTAAAATAGCAGCATAATGCTGCTGTGTTTCGTTTGGTGAGTGTAGAGAATCGGAGACCCTTTTTACTTTGGCCTAAAGCAACCACTTACCATCAGGTGTACAGTGTGCTCGCTGGTCACCTTTATACTATAAAAAAACTACAAAAAAATGGTTGTGTGTATTATGGTCAAAGCTTTGTTAATTATATGACCATATATGTAACATATAAAATATTTTTTAAACTGCAGTACTTTAACTAATATAAGATATAAGTTATATAAAGTTATAATATATACATATAATAGGATATATATTTGTTAATACTTCTTATGTGATGCCATATAAATACGATACATTTCGAAGTAATATTCTTTTTAATTACATTATTTTAGATTGCAAATTCTTAAAAATTCCTATCCACCATAATATTGATAATATAGTCTATATTACTCGTATTATTATTAAAATCGATTGAGATATTATATGTCAACATTCGGCAATTATGTGCTAGCATAGAAAAGGGAATAAGTCCGCTTTTGTACCGTGAGTGTCCTTGAACTTTAGAAACTATAATAAAAAAAACTAAAACTAGTAACTTAATTATCAAACAGCCCTACTCCCTTTGGTATCGTGCCAAGAACGCTGGCTGCGTTTCCCCGTTGAATGGCTATGCTTAGCCTTCGGCAGAAGCACTTACAAGATCTTTAAGAGGTTGTGGCGAATTCGGTCATTGCCGCCAGCAGAGCCATTCCAAAATGACATAATTGCTTCTAAGGTGTCTCTTTAAGAAATTTGTAAAGGTTGCATAGGAGTCTTTGGAGGCAGTGGTAAACCTTGAGTAGGATTGATCGAAGGATGCTTCTGACGAAGGCTTTCCAGAGTCTCGACATTACGAGGAGCCAGAATGTCGTCTGAGAATAAAATACGGGATGTATATTTTAAGTCGCCATCCATTACTTTCGACTCAACTACTTTTTTTAAAATGAAATTTAGGTCGAGGTCGAAATAAATGAGCATTCATTTGGTAATCTAAATTTTGAAAATATGACTCTTTTAGTTGAGATGTAATTGATTTATGAATTGTTTTATCAAAATGAAAATGGGAATACGGGAAAGTAAATAATTTTTGCTTTCTCTTTTCACTATTAGTGAAACAATTTTGAATAGTGCATGACAATGCTTTAGAAAGCTGCATCGTCGCACTCCTAGGAATTCTTTTAACCACTGATACATTACGATGATAATTGTAAAAAAAGCTCCAAAAAAAAAGGGAAAAATTTGTACCATTAGAGAAATTGCTAATAGAGTTATGAATTTCTACGGTAGGCTGTGAAGCCGAAATACTTTTACTATGGCATCGTTTAATATGTATATTTAATCCTCTTTTACCTTTGAACAGCGTACCGTCGGTACAGTTTTGACACTGTAGGAAATCCGGCTGAGAATGTAGCGGAGCGGAGACATTCATTAAAAAATCTAAACAGATCTCTACAGCACTCAAAAGTCTTTATATTACGTAGCATCATATTGATTTGAAATGTGCTGTACTCCGCATCTTTCCCTGAAACACAATTATTTACGGCCTAAATAAAAGCATTTTACTCCATAAATGAATTATTATCACGTTATGGATTATTATCCCTAGATTTATTCCATATTAATAAAAATTGTATGTAGTCGTTATGCTTTGACAGTTGACGACGAAGCGGCAGAAATATATTCCTTTATAAATGACTATTTTATATGAAATCAAAAAATAATTATTATAATAACTGTCTTATATATTTACTGATCTTTTTGTTGAAATTTGTAAGTCAGAATTGGCCTCCAAATAACAAAATAAAATAAGTTAAATATACGTAGCTTTTGACGGTTGAAAAAGTTTGGCATTTTCAATAAATAAATAGTATAGGACATACCTTCAAACATATCAACATTTTAAGCCTTCTTTTGGGCTCCCCCGAAGTCGGGTAAAGATCAATGTCATTTAAAATAGACGGTATTATTAAAACATATATTATAAGATATTACATACGTTTGGTTTTATTGTTAAAAAAGGAATGTTACAGTCTAAATATGTAACACAGCTGGGCACAGGACTTCACTTATTTCTGGGAGGATTTCACAGTAATTAGTAATTTTTACGTGGTAGAGCCATGCTGCAGCAATATTGCTGGTATTATTGTAGCACGAATGGGTCAGCTCAGCCGGGGACGGACCACGCTCTCACATAATACCAGCGTAAAATAGCAGCTTAACGCTTCTGAGTTTCGTATGATGAGTATAGAGATCCGGAGACTGTTTTTACTAGAAACGAGGCATTCCATCTTAGTCCTCACGGATGATAACGCATCTGCATTTTGGTTCATTTGATATATAGTAAATGTCTATGGGCCACAGGAACCACTTACCATTAGGTGGACTGTGTGCTCGTTTTTCACCCTTATCCTATAAAAAAATTAGTCCGCAGCACTTACAAAGCACAGAATTGACGTCGGCGATTAAGTGCTGTGTGTTCGCACTGGGGCGACTGAGATGTTTGACACCCCGATGCCATGGTTAGCCAGACTACCTTCAGTTTTAGAATAGTGTAGTATTCGCGTAAATATAAGAAGTCATTATTTTATTCCCATAAATTGTTCGTTTTGCCGTCTTTATAGCTTCAATTCACGTTAAAAAATTTCTTCAATTTATTACTCCTTAAAATTAAATTTTAACTAAAACTATTGCAGTAAATTTAATTCATGGCATATAAAATTTACTGAAATAATTACGATTTACGATCTGTTGTGAATCTACGTCATAAACAAAGAGGTGAATTGTATAACCGCTTGAAGTGTATCACTTACGCAACAAATATAAAACACTCTCCAAAAACATTTGGTGCTTTTATGTCTTCACAAATGTTTTAAACTTTATATGATTGCCGCATGTCACAAAGGTCTGGCATAACTCGTGGGATCAACTGTCAGGTAATACTTACCATTACGGTAAAATCTACATTTTTGTGTGAGACCTTCAGCTTGGTTTAAAATTATTATTTTAGTTTAAAAATTATTATTTTTAGTTTACAGTTTCAAAACTTTGTACAAAATAAATGTATTATTTCACCTTCCCTAGTTAAAAATGACTTTGTTGAATAAGAACGTTTATTTTATATTTAAAATTTCATGACCATACTTTCAAACTACTAGTATTTTCATTTTGAAATTTAAGATAAATATTCACCGCAAAAGTGAAAAGCTTTGTGATGTTTTATTTACTTCATTGACCTTCGTAAAACTAAATAACTATTTTTCTTTGGAAGGTAAAGATATCACAATTGATAAAATAATTGACAAACAATGTTTCCGACCCTGAAATTATAATCCCCGAGTAGAAGTAACTGTTACCTACTTAACCGAGTTTTTATATTAAAACGCACTTAGGATGACTGATGAATTATATTTAAAAGTGCAAATAGAATCTAATACTTTTACCGATTTTGTCTTCTTGGTACTTTTATGTGACTCACTTACGAGTATATCAGGAGTAACTTGTGTGCCAAAAACAATAATTTTAAAGTCCTACAGAACAAATTTTGGTCACGACGCCCAGTCTTAACGTAGACTAGCCATTTGCGTAAGACAGAATTATAGTGCATGAGTAAGTGCACAACCATACCAGCGTAAAGTAGTAGGTTAATGCTGCTGTGTTTCGTATGGTGAGTGTAGAGAACCGGAGACCCTTTTTGCTGGAAAAGAGGCATTCCATCCAAATCCTCACGGTTGACAACACATATGTTAGATTTAGATGTCTATGGGCCACAGCAACCACTTACCATCAGGTGGAATGTGTGCTCGCTTGCCACCCTTATCCTATAAAAAAATAAAAATAAAACAACCACAGATGCACTCTGTTTTCCTTCCTCTTACAGTCCGATGGAACGGCAACCCAACACGACCGGTGAGAGATCAGAAGCATGACCAATAGATTTACGTTTCTCCGATGCACAAGGGTTAAACACCGCAAGCTTCCTGTCTCCTGGCTGCTACTAAGGATTTCTCGACAGAAAAAAATGTTAACTGCTTTTAACCAGTATTCAAATCAGGGACCTCTTGATCAGAAGTCGCGCTCACGACAACTACATCAACTAAGCAGACAAGGGCATGGTCAAAACATAGAAATGTCGTGTAGTGTTTGCCTAAGGGAATCCATCATCCGGTTAGTACCGTTAGTTTCGTAAAGGGCGCCTATGGGAAAACTCCACAAAGATCTCCTAACTTCCAATACACGGTAGTCCAACAATTGCGTCATAGATCTGGAGCAGCGTCAAAGTTGCAAGATGATTTGTACTGTAATATCGAATCTGCTTGCCAATCGTGACATATAAAGCAAATCCTTTTTGAAACGCTAGAGGCTATACGAGTAGCAGTGGACTTTAGCGGCCTAAGACTAAGTATATTGCGGTTGACACTTAACATCAATGAAGCTACGTACTTGGTTACCCGCTCTTCTATTAAAAAATACATCGACTACAACACTAAAAGCCAAGAAGCATGTCTTATTGGAGCTAGAGTTTACTTCAAAATTCTCAGCATAGTTATAAGTACTTAATACGAGGGTGGATTGAAAAGTACTCGGCCTAACACAGATCCATTCAATTCTAAAAATCAAATCTATCCACATTATTTAGTTCAGTTCAAACTAGTTCATTGTGTGAAGTTCGAAACGTGTGCGATAATTAATTGTGATTTTATAAATTTATTAACAAAGTAATCGGACATAATTTCCGCGAATGGAGCAAATCGAGCAGCGTGCCGTCATTAAGTACCTCCATAAGAAGGGGCTATCATCAAAAGCCATCCATGATGACATGGTCAGTACATTAGGCGATTGTGTTCTGTCATATTCATCCGTCAAAAAATGGATAGCAGAATTTAAGCGTGGTAGAGAGAGTGTGAAAGATGAACCCCGCTCTGGAAGGCCTTCGACGTCAACTACTGACGAAAATATTAAAAAAATACTTGATTTAATAATGGGAGACCGCAGATTAAAAATTAGAGAGATAGCCGAGATTATAGGCATCTCTTATGAACGAACTCAAAACATCATTGTCAACGAGTTGGGTTTCCACAAGGTGTCTGCAAGGTGGGTTCCGCGACTGCTTTCAGTTGAACAAAAAAGGACGCGATTGACTATTTCACGCGACTGTTTGGAGTTATTTGAAGCCGATGCAGATGATTTTTTAAATCGTTTTGTTACTATGGACGAAACATGGGTTCATTACTATACACCGGAAACAAAACAACAATCAAAACAGTGGAGAAGACCTGGTTCACCACCCCCTAAAAAGGCTAAGTCGATTTTGTCGGCAAATAAGGTGATGGCTTCAGTATTCTGGGACTCGAAAGGTGTGATTATGATTGATTATCTTGAAAGGGGTCAGAATATAAACTCTGATTACTACTGCACCTTACTACGTCGTTTACGAGAGGAAATAAAAGAAAAACGTCGAGGAATGCTCAGAAGAAAAGTCCTGTTTCATCAAGATAACGCCCGTGTTCACACGTCAGTACAGTCAATGGCTGAAATTCACAACTGTGGCTTTGAACTGTTACCGCATCCGCCGTATTCACCTGATCTGGCACCATCAGACTTCTTTCTGTTCCCTAACCTAAAAAAGCACTTGGGAGGTCAAAGATTTTCGACAAACGACGAGGTCAAAGCAGCTGTAGACGCATATTTTGACTCTAAGGAAGAATCATTTTTTTTCAACGGTCTAAATGCTTGGCAGGGGAGGTGGCAAAAGTGTATTGAACTTGATGGTGATTATGTAGAAAAATAAAAATATAACTGATTTAGTATTTGTTTATTTTCTTGGTTAGGCCGAGTACTTTTCAATCCACCCTCGTACCTTGAAAATTCAACGGATCATAACAAATTTAAGGTGACCTGTTTGGCCTTAAATTCAACTCTAACTGTACATTACTATCGGAATGTCTCCAAAATATGATAGATTTGATAGCGTCACACATAACTTTTTTTTTCTTTTGTTTTTGCTGAAAACACGCAAAACCGATAATATGTGCTATATTTACATATGATATGTATGTACATATGAAATAACAAAAATAACTTGGCGGCATATATTATATTAATCGTAAATTATTTCGTTAACGCTGGATGGCGTATTTCAACACATTATTGGGGCTTACAAAACGATATTGTGGATTCCATTGAGTCTCATTTCATGTAATTGAAACTTTTATAACATATTACTATTACAAACATAGCCTTCACTGTACTTTTTATTGAACAAAAAAGCAAACTTTTTTGAAGTGAAAATTCTTTAGGCGCGTTAGGCTATTTTTAATAGGTAAAATCTTATTAGTTTGCGTCACCGACATGCTAATGCTAACATTATATCTGTAGCTACAAGTATGACGTGTTGTGCGTACATATATCAAGCGCTATGAATGGTTATCAACCGACTTCAAAAAGGAGGAGGTTCTCTATTCGAGTGTATGTTTTATTTATATGTATGTTACGCGATATCTACAGACTTTTTTGATAATTATTTTTTATTGAATAGATTATAATTGTACCTCACTTTTTTTAGCAATTTAAACTCGGTTTTCACTTTTTGTTAAAAGTTATAATTATTGGATACATAAAATCTAACGAGTTCGCGTCACCAACATCCTGTAAGAGCTTTATATAATAATATAAGTGTATATTAATTATTATATCAATTAAGTGGATACCTATATTTTGCACTAGGTTTGTCCAGTAAGTCATGTGTTTTGATTAATAACTAAACCATATATAAATATATGTAATTGTGCCGATTGACGTAAAACCAGACCAATGTTAATGATTTTAATTAACAAAGTATGAAATTTTAATTTTTGATAATAATATTAAATTGAAAATCAAAAAAGCTGTCTTTTTCATTATTTTAACTTCTCACTTCTGTTGGCAGTCCCCAATGACTGCATTTTTTTTTAAATTTACGGTATGAATAGATTACGCTTTATTACCGTTGGCACATAATTTTTATTTCGTAACTTGGTGTTACGAGTCCGTAAAATTATTGTGTCCATTGTTCAACCGTCTCTTACGTATAATTATTCCACGCTTTCGCTTACAAAAGTATCAATAATAACTTAACGTTACGTAGCTACTGACATAAAAAGAGTGCGCGTAATACTAATTATAGTTCTACGTTGAAACTTTCGCACAACAGTGAATAGAAGTAAGGAAAAGGCCTCCGACTATTAAGCATAAGAACTTATCGTCACTTTTATATGAAGATACAATGAGAGGACACAAATTTTATTCTGGTAATACAAGTTTTTTATAGGGTGGGGTGACAAACAAGCACACAGTCCACCTGATGGTAAGTGGTTGCTGTGGCCCATAGACATCTACATATATTCTCGTGTGCGAATCAAAATGTGTTGTCACCTGTGAAGACTAATATGGAATGCCTCTTTTCAATCAAAAAGAGTATCGATACGAAACACAGCAGTGTTAAGCTGCTTTTTTACGCCGGTATTTTGTGAGTGTGAAACAAGTCTAGCTACATATGTGTAACCCTGAGGACTAAAATAGAATAACTTACAGCCTGTAATTATGTTGGTTTTCTATACCCTTCATACTGAAATAGCAATGCTAGTACTACTATATGGCAGCAGAAATATTTAAGAGAGTGTGTTATCCACCTAGACGGACTCGTAGGCAGATAAGATTCTACGAATACCACAAACTCTTCTACTTTCTAAACTCTTCTCTCTTTCATCTTTTGTAATAATTGTATATTACGTGGTAGAGCCATCCTGTAGCTATATTAGGAATATAGTTGTAGCACGAATGGATCGGCTCGACCGGGGTAGGACCACGCACTCACAGAATACCAGCGTAAAATAGCAGCTTAACACTGCTGTGTTTCGTATCGTGAGTGAGTACCGGAGACCCTTTTACTGGAAAAGAGGCATTCCATCTTAGTCCTCACGGGTGACAACGCATTTGCATTTTGATTCGCAAACGGGCATAGATGTAGATGTCTATCGGCCACTGAAACCAGTTACCATCAGGTGGATTGTGTGTTCGTTTGTCACCCTATCCTATAAAAAAAGGACTTTTTATCATACACGTATTGAATCAGCGCGCCCCAATACATGTTGCCCTCTTTCCTGTCCAAAAACACCTGTGTTGTGGACATATTATGATGTTGATATTTGATAAGATCTTATAAATGACAACAGATGGTGATGTACGTATCCCGTTTAGTGATCCGTGAAACACTTATCTGCCTACCAACTGTTTCAGTTAGCTACCACAAATCCTGAGTGTAAGTGTGAGGCCTAGAGCAGTGAACTTGCCTTATTTGAAGGTTGTAGAAAAAGTGTACTAAGAAATACCAGAAAAATTAGTATCTTAATAAAAGTTATATTTTTAATTCAAAAAATAACAGCAATCAAATTTCGAAGCCTTTCTTTCTTCACTTATTAAGTTCAAAATTAACTACATAGTTTGGCGGCTCTATACGCAAGTATATCGTCGAGTCCCACACAAAATTGTTCGTGTGTCTGCAACAGTTCATTATGACAGTTGCAGTTTATTTTTTTTTAATGAAATTGAATAATTCTTCCCACAAGTTCTTCTCGCAGTAAGGACTTGTTGAAAAGGGGAAAGCGAAAGTTTTCGAGTTTCAAAAGGTGTTTTAAAATCAATTTCGAATTTAAATATTTTAGCTTTGACGAAGTTATTTTCGTGGATGTTATTTTATTCCCGTAATCATTATGTATACAATAATCTTCATTTTGAGTCTCAAATGTCCTGTGGATTGTATTACAAAATAATAGCTTTAAATATCAGATTTCAAAAGAAAAAAATCCAGTACTCAGTAATAAATGGCGGCATCTGCTACACGGCCCCTGGCGTGGCGACTCTGTAATCTACAGACATTTTGAGGTAGGTAATTGCTGGACTAATGAGTAAGTGCCTTAGGCATATCACCAGTTTACGCAATAACGAAAATCGACAGTGTCACTCAATTGACCCCGCGATAACTAATAGATAATGTTGGCAAATGCTATTGGTGATGTAATGAAAACTGTAAATATGGTACTGAAATATGTAATTTTTTACGAGTTATGTGAATAAGACTTTAACAGTTTTTCTTTTTTAAATAATACCTTATGCTTATACGATGGTATAAATATTGATGGTAAAAATAATTTGATGGTACAAAAAAGCCAATAGAGCACTTACTTGGATTCGTTTTGAGATATTCCATCGATTTTCATAATATTAAAACACACCTAAAAGATACTTTATTTTTTGCAGCCATTTCGAGTATAAGTCAAATTGTAACATTTATATAGATATGATTGAGCAAGTACAAATGCGTTTTCTAGGTTTTCTGCAATTTGACGCGCAATTTTATACTATACGTGTACGAATGTAGCCGCATAGGAGATATGATTTATCTAAGTGATTTCTTATATTTTGGCGAACACTACACATATGTTCCGATCTACGCAGAATGAGCTTATAGTATTTTTAAAGTCTTGCAGTGGTATGCCTGGGTTTGAATTTAGTTTTATTAATTATAGGATACCAAGTAGATGGCAGCACCCATCTCTTGAAATTAGGGTTATCTTCTCTATTGAAATTAGGGTGATTTTTTTTTATTTCAATAGCCTCGCGAATCATCCTTGGTAGGAATCGGTGTTCTTTTACGAAGAGTTGTGGTCTATCAAATCTATAACGTAATGGCTCTAATGTAATGGCGAGGGAATGAAGGTAGCCGGACTAACTATGACATCGGGTCGTCAAACACCTTATGTGTCCCCCCCCTCCCGTGTCCATGGGTGCTGTACTGCACCCGAAACGTCGGGAATTAAAAATTTTAATTAAACGCGATAGAATCTATCAAAAAAAGTTTTATTTAATGATTTATCTCTTTAAATTGACAAATGGTAATGTTGACGGTCCAGAGCTGCTGAGTACGTTAGGCTTTACAATAAGAGCTACTTACAAGCTACTACATTAAAAAAAAACCTCGCTTACTCTGTGTGTTAGAAATGGGACTAAATAAGGGTAAAATTCTTTTATGATACATGCATGGGGTAACTTGATCCTGTTTAATACCAGTGTTTCTCGATTAAAAAATATTTAAGCGAAAAAATACTTTTCTTGAGTATTTTTCTGTTATTTTTGTTAATTTACTGTTTGTCTTAATATATTTCTACGCTGTTATATATTTCTAAGCATATTGTCTATAGGTGAAACCTTTAATTGGCCTTCTCGTTATTATGCATTTATTTACTGTGCTAGGTGAAAGTTTTCCAAATAAAAAAAAAGTTGTTATTATATGCTGATGTGTTTTTTAACGTGATATAGGAACTTCTTGATGCAACGGCAAAAGTCTACAAGAACGGGAGTGACCTATGTCTAGCAAGGCATGGGTCACTTTAGTAGGGAGGATTGTCATAATACCTGTAGCATGAATGATTCGTATGATGTGTGAAAAAAAAACGGATATCTTTTACTGGAATCGAGGTATTTCATCGTAAACCTAAAGTAATTAAGTATATGTTTTTTTTTTTATTTATGCAGGGTTTTTTTTTACGAGTAAAGGTGATAAATGGGTTGATAGTTAACATAACGGTAAGTGTATGTTACAGTCCATGAAAACCTACATCTAACCTCGATTAAGCATCAAAATGCAGATGCCTTGCCCTTTGCGACTAACAAAGAATGCCCCTTTACCAGTAAAAGTATCTCTTTTTCTGGTCACTCACTATGCGTAACACAACAGCTTTATATTGCTCTTTC